TCCTCCACAAAATTTAGTGTTTTGTCTAAGAAAGTACCAGGTCAAAATTTTATCTAAGTAGTGTAGTGAAAAACTTTCAGTTAAATGGCTCTCCTTTTAGTAATTAATTTTATATCAGAATGTTATTACTAGGGAGAAAATTCTGGGTGGTTTACATTCACCGTCGGTGTCTCCAAATAGCATATTTTGCAGTTAATCCAGAAAATATAATTTATATTTAACACATCTGTAGTTAAAATGAGGTTGCACATACCTTATACTAATTACCTATTGGTATGGTTCAGAACAGAGCAGTCAGAGGTGTGGGCAAATTTCTGTGGTCACTGATCACTCAAGAATTAGAAATGTACAAAGGGAGTCATGATAATTCCACCCAAGTCCAGGTTCAGATCAGTATCTCAGCAGGAATGCTGTATTTTGTTGGAAACAAACTCAAAGTCACACATTACTGAAATGATTCTGAATATGTCTCTTATTTTTCTTTGTAAAAATAAAACTTCTTCCATTGTCCATTCTTGATTCCTTAAAACTTTCTCCTTTTGTTAATTTATTTTCTCTTTTTCTTTCTTTCTTTTTTTTTCTTTCTTTTTCTGCTTCTTAACTTTCCTTTTTTAGTTTAAGAATAGTTTTTTTTCTTGTATCCATTCAAAGATCTTTTCATAGCTAATTGTCATTCTCTTCCCAGTCAGATTACTCTGCTGATTACCTAAAACACATTACTTTTAAATTCTTCGTTGTGACTTTTGTGTGGAAATGACCACTGTTGTATCTGCATGTCCTCCAGTGGATGGAACAGACCTTAACTTTTGTTACTAATCTGTCACAATGCCTACCTTTAGTTTTGTCCTTCCTCATCTCTGTCACCTTAATGTAGTGATTCAGAAATTCTGTAAATCACTGAGCAGTTATAAGGGAGACCTCAGGAAAGAATGCTTATCCCAAACACTGTAATTTCATATTTCTTTTTGTGAATATATCTGACACTTCTGAATCATTACATATTCATTTTTCAATTATTTAATTTCCGATTTTAGGACCTTATGCTTCTGCACTTAAACATCTTCCTCCTGGGAATTTCCACTTATGTACAACCCATCTTTCTAATTGATCTAAGTCTAGTTTGGGGTAATTCTGGACTCTGTTCTCTCTGTTTCAAACACATTCAATAACTCATCAAATCAGTGTTCCTTTCTTTTATTTCCCCAAAGCGTATATAGGCATTGACCACTTATTACAATTTCACTGCTGCCAGCCTGGGTCACAGCCCTATCACCTGTCATTCAGATTATTTTTATATCTTCCAACCTCCTGTACTGGCTTCCCCC